ACAGAATCTTTTGTATGTGCATAATATCCGCTTTTAGTTTAACAGTGGTTGTTTTAGAGCGAAGAATTTTTTTCTTTTCCTCCTCCTTTTACTTTTGTTCAAAGGACAAGCTGAAACTGCTGTATCCGGGTCAACCGGGCACTTCAAAGGAACTCTGAAATTTTTTTAAATGTGACACATGGCTATAAACACATGAGTATAGACGCATGACTGTAAATGTCCAACATGTAATAAAATATAAACCTTAGTGATATTCCATTTTAGTTGTTTTTATGTTGTAGAATTAATGTCTCTCTGTGCCCCTTCTGGAAGAGAGGTAGGCGTTTTAGGTTTTATAATTAATAATAGAAATAACTTTCCGACAGTATTATTATCTGCAGCATAATAATTTCTGTAGCATTATTATCTGCTATCCGCTTGAATTCTACCATCAGAAATCGCAAGTTAGAGCTGTGTGAACGAAAGTTTAATTTTTTTATCGTAGCCCCCCTCAAAAAAGTTGCGTTGTCTTAATTTTTTTATAGCTTTTTATGTTCTTATGTTGAATGACCTTTATTGTCTTGGATGAACTATGATTAAAATAAAAAACATCCTCCCCTCTTTCCTAAAAAAGGGGGGGAGAAGGTGTTATTTATTGGCTAGGAAAGGATATGCGCAGACTGTATGTGCAAAAGAACGTACCTTATATGAGAGATAAATAGTGAATAAATTTGAATAGAGTTATGATATTTGCTATTGTTAAGTAATAAAATCTGGAATAAGTTGTCGTTTATCTATAATAACCAAATGCAATAGCACAAAATAGCATTTTTTTCTTCTCACATGGGAAAAAATATAAGTAATTTTTTAATGGGTTATGTTTTTAATGAAATAATTGATAGTTATAAAAATGCAGTAAATTGAGTTGGAAAATATTTTCTGGGGACTAGAATATCTAAGTAAAAAAATTTAATTATAAAAATAGGTCATGGTTTCTAAAAGCTAGGAAAAGCACTGATTTAAAAATTTCTGTGGAAAAGAAAATAACTGAGTTGTGAAAAATAAAGCGAGTCATAGAAATGCATTGTTTAATCAATCAGAAGTACAATACTGTATTTAACAATGCATTTAAATAGTATTTTTTTAATAGAAATGCATTTATTAAACGTATAGTCTCCGTGAAAAATTCTTGAACACTTCTGAACTTATTTTATGTAGAGTGCAAGAAAAGAAAATTTTTAGCAAAAAAAATTTCATTTCGCCAGTCACATACGTAGTATTTAAAAATTTGAACTGCAGTGAAGCTGGCTACATTATGTGAGATAACGGCTCTAAAACCAGATAGGAAGACACATGCAGAAAATCTGAAAAGGAGGGGGGGACATTTTTATCTCCAGCGCGCAAGGGATCAAAAATTCTAAAGATGTGGATTTCAAATTATTTTGCGATATTGCTCTTGAATTGAATTTTATGGTTTAAATGCGAAGAACATATTTAATTAATAAAGGTAACACACAAAATGGGGAAAAACGCCCCTTTGGACGTAATTTTAAATCTGAAACCTTTCGTTTTTTTTTTTACATTTATTTATTTTTTAATTTTTAAAGAATTGAACTAAGTGTCATAAGTGTCATAATGAAATGACGCACTTATCTTTCATCGCTAAAGCTGGAAATTTGTGCTTGTCCAAATATTTGCGATACTTAGCTATGGTCAGATGTTAGGTATCCAGAAATTTGGGGAAATCCGGATATTAATTATCAACATGATGCCCGATAGACATGAAGATACAAAGTATTATAGTATTATCTTTACAGTTTTGAGGAAGAATTTTAGTATGTGGTATGATTCATAAAACACGAAGTCAAATATATTAATCGAAACGAATTTTCGTGAAAAATCTCGGAAGATATTCGCCATCACTCTGGCTATGGAATGGAATGAGTAGCGTAAGAACTTTTCAGGATGCTCTTATTTTAAGAAAATACTTGCCTAATGTCGTGGTGGTAATTGTCAGGCATTTGATAAAGAAATTTTTAAGAAAATACGGGAAGGACTCCTTAGAATTCGTAACAAAGTCCTGTAAAGTCTATTCGAATGGCCTCCATTCAGTCGTAGTTACTACATGCAAAAGTCCTGCACAAATATATTTGTATCTGAGTGCCTGAAATGTGCATTTGTAGCAGTCTGAGGCTAAGAAACGCCATTGAACTTATTTCGTAACGAAACTATCCACAGGATTCTAAATTCATTTGCTAATAAACATATAAGTAATACATGTTTATGAAATGCAGTAAGCTTGAAATTTACGTGTGTCTATATAGTGTACTAAAATTAGGTAATTTCAGTTCTAAGTACAATTTAAAATACACCCCCCCCTCCGAAAAGAGAGAGATTTTATAATTGAAAATACCTGTTCAGCTTCATTGAGTGCTTAAGAAAATAAAGTCCCTTCAGGCATAGCATGGAAGAAAAACTCATCAGTTCCAAATAAGCAAAATTTTACTTTATATTGATGTTGATTTTAGCAAAAAACCACGCATAAATTTAATTTTCATTTAATATTATAATGGGTGACAGAACGTCGAAACAAGTGAAGCTGTTTCAGGAAGCGTTGGTTTGTTTTGATTTTCTTCTATCCATAAATAATGCAAAAAAGGAAAACTGGGATGTTCCATTTAAGTATTAACTTTAGTCTGCGTTTTAGTAGCGAATAGGCCAGAATTAAATGCATTTCCCTTCCCCAAAGTAATAAACTCGTAATGCTTTGCTTAATAAATTTCAGTTTTTGTTTTAATTATTTCCAATAGCATTAAATCCAAGCATTTTTTGCATGGAACTTTTTATCTTCTTGTTATCATATACCTTTATAAATGCTGTACAAAATATAAAATACATAAATTCATCTATGTCATTTAAATAACCCTTTCTTTTAAGCACTCAATTTTTTATGATTCCAACTGTGATGATATTTTTGTTGACAAGTTAATTATTATCATATTTCCTGTGTTGCCTATTGTCTCGAATGTGCGTTGGGATGATTCATAAACTTCATTTACCCACGCGTTCTTCCATTGCTTCTATTTACTTCCTCGAGGAGTTCACGTTCTTTCTTGAAATTGATATTTATTTGTTATTAGAATTATTATTTATTCCTTGTTCATGCGTGTACGATGCGATGCGTGTGATCTTGGATGTCATGTCAAGTGAGATAGATACATGTCATTTCGATACTTATTTTGATAAATAAGCTCTATTTTCCAGTAGAGATAACTGCACATTCTCTGCAGTGGCACGGAACTTCATAGGTCACAGTTTTCTTCTTTTCTTCTTTGTTACTTTATAAAATGCCGTGCGCTGCTACAATTCTTTATACCATTCTTTGTTGTGTGGGCAGAATTGGCTTTAAATGTAGCCATTGTCTCTACGATAGTTGTAGAATTATGTGGGATTTGCCTACACCCGCTTTTGTTTTTGTGGTAATAGCATGATTAAGGATCGTTTTGGGAAAAAAAAAAAATTCTAGAGCCGTTTTTGGGATCAAGGTTTTTCTTTGTAAGACAAGCAGCAGTGTTTCCGTTTTGTAATTGCAATTTTAGAACTTCTTTATAAGACGTGGCCGTTGTCCATTAAGATGAATAAAAAAGCAATCAAAGTTGGTGTGCTTGTCATCGGTGCTGATTTTAAATGTGCAGTCACATTAATACGTCCCGTTAACACGTCACTCCTGCAGCACTGTTTCACTCTCATGGGGTTCCAGCTTTGGGAAAAATACGCACATAACTCGGTATTCCACTAACACTATTTCGCTATTATATAGTTCGATTAAGCGCTAAGGAAACTGCCATTGTCAAGTACTTACAGTTGACTGTTTGCTGACGACTGAGTGACGCTGACTATGGGTCTGGGTTCAAATCTAAAAAAAGGTATAGATGTTTATAAGTGTATGGTGTCTGTGCAACAAGAAGCTCTCAGAGACGTAATGGTAGTGGAAGAGAGATCCCTGGGCTGCCATCTACGGACTTTTTCTCTCACAAAATTAGGGCGAAACTGCATAGTTAGTGCGGCAGGATTGGGCCCGTACGACCAATGGTGAAATTCTGGTGTGCCGCTTTCGTCTAACTGTAATCTGATATCATGACGGCACAGCATTTGAAAATAAAAAAATAATTAAGAGAAATCATTGTCGGTACGAAATTAAAGAGATCAGAAAAAGAAAGAGGAAGAAATAGTTCAGTTGAGTAGCTAAACAATTTACAAGAATTCCCTTGAAAAAAGCCCAAAATTCAATGAAATCTTCCAATATAAAAATAAATAATCGAAAGTAATTTATTTATTTATAGCATTAAGCCCAGGATGCCGTTGAAAAAGGCTGATGGGCGTATTGGAATTCTACTGTAGTTTCATAATCAGTAAGGGAAAATTAATGTTATTAGGTTTTCCTGCCTCCCCTTCCCCAAACAGTATATGAATTTTTTAAGTGCTAGGTGTTTAAAAAGGTTTCAGAAACGTTTACTATATGAGAAAGCAGTAGAATTCTTATGAAGTATTATGGTCGAAAGTGAAGATTACAGTATCCATTTCTTTTTCTCCTCTCTTTCCTTAGGATGTGTATAAACGTACACATCAGGAACGCGATGTAAAAAAAGGAAACACGCAATAAGAATTTAAAAAAAGACAAGATTTTGCGCTGAGCGGAAAATCCAAACCCTATTTAAAGGGGCGTGACAGTTTTCTCGTGTGAAGAGTGCTTTTTTGTTTGTTTATTTTCATTTGCTACTTCTTATTTTGAACTCGGATACATGACGTCATCCGCTTCTTGAATACTCGACAGGTGTCTCGTGTCAGGGAGGGATGGGGCTTTTGAATTTCCCCCGAGTGTGGAGTGATTTCCGTGAGGTAATGACTTTCGGATCTCTCTTTCTGTCTTCCGTTTATGTTTTGCTGCTTAAAGATTGCTCTCACAGGAGAAAGTAATCTTAGTTTGATGGTTTTAGCTTGTTCTTTAACACTGAGAGATGGTTCGAGGTAATTATTCAACCCATTTGCATTTACACTGTGCAGTATCGTACATTACTGTTAAAGCTTTAAAGTAAAAGTTAGCAACAATTACTAAACATGGATCGTTGATCTACGATACTACTGCTGTCAGTATTAATTGTGGTGTGTATATTTTAATATTTTGTGACAAGGCAGGTGACGATGTAATATAAACGTAGATTTCAATACCTGCTGATTTTATGATTTTTTTTTTTCAGTGGTCCATTATACGATATCAGTGGCATGTCATTCGAGTTATTAATTACGGCAAAGTCTACGAGGGACTGTGAAAAAGATGAGCAGCAAGCTATTAATGACTTCCTTTATAATTTCGCAAAATCCAATACACTGCTGTCGCTGTGTAAGAGGCAGATATTAATTCGTCAGTCCGGAAGAAAATTACAAGTATTCTGTAGTTTTCAGTGTTTTATCCATGGCTGACCATTTGTGCAACAAATTGTATAGAACAGATGTATAGAAGTATTTTTTTTAATTCAGTTGCGCTAACTGAAATTACCTGTTATAAGTTATACAGTAAAAACATTTGAAAAGTTTTCTTAATGGAACTGAAAATTTGTTAAGCAGCATTTACCTTGAAAGAGTTTTTGTTCCGGTTTGAATAGAAACTGTTCTCTGCCTCGGAATGGCAACAGTCAGAACTTGACTTTCGATTTGTTTTGACGCTGCTAATAAGATGTAACATTAAATTAGATTAATTTGTCTGGTACTTTAATAAATTCTTTTTTAAAAACTAGATTGAGTATTTTGAACATAGAATTATCACTGAACCACTACTCATAGAAATTTAGACGTGGCAATGGGATTCATCATAGAACGCAGTTAGATGCGCAGCGCCATTCGTCTATTTGATTAGTGTACATTAGTGCATACAGTTTAAAAATTTAAACAGGCTTTTAAAATATTGAAACAATAGTATTAATTTATTGAGCATTAGCTAGAAGAAGATTTGAATCGAAGGAACTTATTTCTTTAATAAACTGCGCATTTTTAAGTAGTTACTAGACGAAAGGAACACTAAGCAGGGATTTTATTCATTAAAACACTAGTCAGCCAGAATAAAAACCATTGAGTTGTTTCTAAGGCAGACACATAAAAATTTTGCGAAGCATACTGATGCAAATTATCAGTTGTCTGCCTTATTTTGAGAACTGGTAAAAGGAGAACATTCGTTGATAAGAGCTGATAAACATTCATTCCTTAAAAAACTTCGCTTGAATATTACGAGAGTAAAGACTAGAGATTTGGTGCTAGCCGATATCATACTGAACCAATAGGGTTTCAATTAAAGGGTGTTTATTCCTAAATGCCGTTTATAGGAGTATAGGAAAGAACATAGCGAAGAATAATGTTTTGCTGATAATAAGCATTACGTTCCAAAAGTGAAAATGATTATAATGGAATATGTATAAACATTTTAATAAGCGAGTGACAATTTAAAACACTTGAAGTTTTTTGAAATTCAAATAACGCCTTTGACTATCAGTGGGCGTCTTTAATACAATTCAGAGTCGTGGGCCCAGCTGAATCTATTGTATGTTAAAAACCATAAGGTGCAGATAAACTAACAGTTAACTGAAAATATTGTAAATTGTCGGTAACATGCCGTAATATAACGAACGCTTTATGTTTTAAGCCTACTTTAAATATGCTCCGAAGATTTACGTCAGATTGCAGTTGACAAAGGGATTTAAAAACAAGCCCCCCCTTTTACTTCCTTGTATGAAGTACAGACAGCATTGTTATCGCCAAAATTTCTGCTAACATATTTCAGCGTAAATATCCATTTTGACAGCTTCCACTTTATTTATTTATTTATTTATTTATTTATTTTTTTCGCCCGTAACATCCGTTTGGATGAACATAATAAAGGACTTTTTCCTAAATGAATTGTAAAATGAATTGGATTCAGAAGAGTTTTTTTTTTTTTTTTTTTTTTGTGTGTGTGTGTGTGTGTGTGTGTGTGTGTGACATTCTATACGTACTTTTTATGCTGGTATTTCGCATAACTTAAAAACGAGTCGCCATAGAACGTTGAAATTTTGTAAATGGACTGCTGTAACATTCAGTTTTGCCCCCCTCCTTTGGCTTGCAATCGCATAGATATATTCCTATCCAGTTACCCAGCTCGGCGACCTGAGCATTTTTATTCTTTATATGTTAGTAAGTTGGGAATTTTTTGCTTTTAAAAGTGGTTGAAGTATGTTGTTCTTATATTCCAGTTAAGGTTTTAATGCCTTTAGTTAATCTGCAAGCGGTAGTTATAGAATTATCAACAATTTAAAAGTTTAAACAGCGCTAGGCCTAACAAGGCCGCCATTTGTTTACCTTTAAAACTCTTAGTAGAATAATGAAGTGAGTTGGTGCACGAACTTCAGTGTCTTTTTGCCCATTTTATGCACTGAATTTTTTTTTGATAAAAAACTTAAATTGTAAAAAAAAAATGTCCCTTGTTTTTTTTTTTTTTTTTTTTTTTTCCCCACTGTTTTAAACTATATTTGGTATTTTAGGTTGTAGAGTTCCTCACTTTATAAATTCTAAGTTACTGTTGGAAGTGAAGAATCGTAAGGAACTGATAAGCGAATAATCGCTTGAGTTCGTGTGACACGAAACAACAAGATAGAAGGGTAAACTAGCTCTTTATTATTCCAACTAAAGTTTAACAAACTCCGTCTCGGAGTCATCAATAAAGCCGACACTTGGGTTTAGAACTTAAGAGACTAAGAATAATACTAAACTAATCTTAACTAAAGAGATATAGCCGAAGCTATCAAGATTCTAACCGAGTTGGCCCCTTAACGTTAATAGACTGCGAAGCTATCAAGGGCCTAAAGTACGGCCGAGCGTAATAATAGCTTACGAGAGTAGCCTAAAAAGGCGGACGCTTGCAGACAGAATACCTGGTATCACTCTCTCTCTAAGACCGAAGAACTTCGCGGTTAAATACCGCTTTTCCTCAGTATGTATTCAGACGTGATTCTAAAACTACGTTCTAGCCGGAAGTATTAAGTTGAAGTTAAGAATCGACAGGAAAGGAACTTAAAATTTAACTGTTAATAAAATTAACATAATTCTTACAAGGTTTTCCTGTATTTACAATTTTTAATGAAGATGTTTTAAGTTTTTACATGCTTTTGCCCTGCCGCGAAATGAGAACAGAATTAATTGAATGAGAAATATATAGTAATTAAATTGGAGGAAATAAGTTTAAATGAAGTGCAGCAAAAAATGTGTATAATTTAATAGGCCGTACAAGTCAGGCGGCGTGGTCATCACAAGTATATAATAACTGAATATTGTACTGAAAGTGAAAGAGTAGTATTGTTGTATGAAGAGTACTATTGTTATTATCACATTTGTATGAATTGTTGTTGGAATATACATCTGAAAAAAATGGTAGGTTTAAAAGAATGTTTGAAATATTAAACTTAAATAAGGATTCTTCAGGAAGGATGACGTGAAATTTTTTGTCTTAACACTATTTCTTCCTTTTAAGCTTGTAGAGACATTAGGTATTTTGGACGCAGGAGAGATGAAAAATTAGCAATGCATTCGCCGGGAATGGAACCGCGGACCTCTAGAATACGCGCCCAGCGTGCAGACCACCACACCACGAAGGCATGCCAAGAAGGCAGGCGAAACACCTTATAAGCTCTTTACTATTGTATTCTGAGTCGTGATATATTGTGTTATCTGCCAGTTTATTAGCTACATATTTATTTAAATTGTTTCTAATTTTTGTTCATTTAGTTAAGGGTTTCTTAAACTGTGGGTCGCGGGACCTGCAGCAGGTGGTCGCCAAAAATTTTAGCAGTTTTGATATTTCTTTAACTTATTATAATAATTTTACAATTAACAAATATTTTTATGTAATGTATCTGAAAATAGATAAAGATAAGACAACACAGGCAAATTAAAAAGCGAAAACGTTTCGACGCACTCTTTTTTATAATATAAAAGTTCATTTACCGTGCTGCGCACCTGCCGCTGTCATTTCGTCTGTTACTTATTTAAAATTGTCACATTGTTCTATGTCTTAAAATTCGAAATTAAAGTTAATGACCTCAACTCCAATAGTATATTACAGTGCAAGTGAGGTAATTGACAGTTTCACTCACGCGTGTGTCGGATTTGCGGAATACTTATGGAGTCACACAAAATTTTTATAAATATTATAGGATTCTGGGAGGGTCGCGAAAAAATCTCAGTGATAAAAAGGGGTCGCGACTAAAAAAACGTTTGAGAAACCTCGATTTAGTTCATTATCATTGCTGAAGTTAGCTTTAAAAATGTGTAGACATATTATCAGTTAATAGTTAGCATTCTTTGTTACACAGTCGTATGTAATGTGCGTGTTCTTTTCCTCCATAATAATCCGTAGAAAATAATTGCAAGTAGCTGCTCCGTTCTAAATTGTTATGCCCCTAATTATACTTGACAGTATTTCCAATTAAATAAAGCTGTAATTTTATCTACATCTTCACCTTTTTGTATTATATTCCGATTCTTATGTTACCATTTTTGTGAGGAAACCGTTTCTGAGAGATAAGACTCATTCTAAGTCATTTTGTGTTTGCCCTGGTATGCATTATTCTCTGAGGTATTTGTGACAGTGTCACAAGAGAAAATTCCTGAAGGCAGCTTTGATAGTGCTGGGTCACGTTCTATTCGATTTCACCCTCTACAGAGTTAACACGAGCGATGCTTTGTACTCCTGCTGTCAATTGTTCTGATTTATGTGAGAATAAATCTTCACATTTTATGTAATCTTCATTTAATTAAGTCTGAAAAGTGACACTACATTTTCTTTAATTTTCTCAAAAGAGATTTATTAATTTATTTTGCATAACTGTTAATGTATTTACAAAATATGATTTTGCGAAGCTGTGTTATTCAAATACTATACGTAAAGGGGCTTCAGAATAATTCAGTAGAAAATAAAAAACAGTGTTCAGTGAGTAATAAGACATGTTTAGTTATTAAGTTTACTGAGTTGTCCCTTTTTATAACTGCTTTTATATTTTCCCCTTTTTATAATATTCAGAAGATGCTGCCTTTGATAATATTAAAAAATTTAGAAGCTTCATGCGCATTTTTCGATGATATGGATTTAATTAGCAATGTTTTTTAAAGTTATGCTTTATTATTATTTCGGCATATGTTCATTATGTTGAAATCGATAATAGGTGCCTTTTATTTTATATACCCTTTAAAAATGTTTGCATACATATCTTGCGTATTACAAAGTACCACAAAATGAGAAACAGTCTACAAAAATTTTAACGAAATAGCAGTGAAATCAAAATAAATTCTAAAAAGATCTTTCAGCGTTCCGTTTTAAAAAAGTTGCACTAAATTATAAAGCTTGCTCTAATCCATTGACTGGAATGTTGAAATATTATTGAAAACGAAAGATATTAATGCCCTCCAGAATTTATTAACTAATTCAAATCAGCATAAAGGAAATGAATGATTAATGAATTTTAACGTCTCGAATCAATTCCTATATAATTCACCAAAATTTCATTGTGTTTGTGTCTTTAATATTTTCTCAATTTAATGCTGAATCTTACTACGAGTTACGAATCTTACTACGAGTAGTGAACGTAGTGATTTTGTTTCGTGAAATTAATCTATCATAAATTTTATTGTGTGGAAAATGTACTAGCTGTACTCACTTTTTCGGTATTTTTAAGGAAATATTAAAGCTAACTTATCACAAATTAAAAATTTAGG